GGTGGAGCAGGAGATTAGTTTAGTTGGGGACGTGTCAAGTTTTAAATTTTGTGGGGCATTCAGGAGGCATTCAGTAGGCAAAATGAGTCTAAAGCTGGAGGAAATGCCTGGTCTAGAATTATAAAGATTGAGGAAATGATGTACTGGTACATGTTTAACAACCACCTCTGGGGTGTGTGGGGAGTCTTGATTTGCAGCATTTGCCAATTTCTGTGATGGAAATACTCCTACCATGGCCAATTTCGAGTAATCAATGTGATATCACTGAGATGGAGTTGGAAAGAGATATGTATAATTAGCTATTGTGAGCTGGTGGGAGCTGCCTCCAATACACTGCTGATCATCAATATATTTTGTATCTAAATATTTTACCTAAAAATAAATCTAATTCTTAAAAACCCCAGCAAGGAAGGTATTATTATTCCCTTTTTTCAATGAGCACATAGCTCATCATCAATGAACACATAGCTAGTAAATGTTAAAACTGAGATTCAAGCCCAACTCAGTCTAACTCCAAAGACCATGCTTCAGAGTAATTGCATGAATTTTTGTAGATAATCTCAGCTTATTTTTTAATTGGCTCTTTCTTCCTGCTTAAGAAGCCATGCAAATTCTGTAATTACACTTTGTGTTGCAAAGTTATTATAGAGAAGTAGATACTGTATTAAAAATAAGGATAAAATTTTTCAAACAAAATGTGAGTTTCTGGCTCAGACTCTGATCATTTTTATCAAAGATTTATATTTGTTAATGAACATTACTCTGTGTCTTCCTATATTATTACACTAGATTCCCTACAAACAGAGCCTGAGAGGGGGATTCTTGTTCGAAGGCTTTGTTGAGTAAGTTCTTTCAGGGGAGGAGGAGTGACATAGGAGGAGAGGGAAGCAGGATAGGGCAAACGGAAAGGCTTAGTAACAATGTGGTCTCAACTTTAGACTAGGTTCAGTCTGATTATGCAAGGAAGTTTTGATACACAAATTGTAGCACGGAATTAATCTTATGTTGAGTTGAAGGGACTTGCTTTTGATACCTGCATGTCAGTCAGTTTTTTGCTGTGGGGTGCCCTGGAAGGGGTGGTGGGAGGGAGGCTGGGAGGGGAGGAAGGTATAAACCTAGCAAGCCAGGCAGTTCTCTGGAATAGAAGGCAGGTGTGAGCCACTGGCACGTGGTAAAGAGAACCTGTATGAGGCCCCAAGAGCATCCACTATAAAGAATGGTTCTCAAACTATGTTCCCCTTTGTAGCAGCATCAGCATGGCAGCATATAACATCAACAACAAAATAACTTCCAAAATGTCATCATGAATTATTACATTTTATTATTTCTGTGTGTCAAAATCAGAATGAATTAGCAAATGATTAAAGCGTAAAATTGTAGATCAGAAAGCAGTATAAAGGTTTAATAATCTACAACCCAATGAATGAACTGTAGCACCCAACAACATCCATTCAGCCACTATTTATTGAGCACTTACCATGTGCCAGGTTCCATACTAGCCACTGAGGATTCAGGGGTAAACAAAACAGACATATCTCCCTCCATCAACAAGGAGCCTAAAATATAGTGGAGTAACTAAATATTACACACAAAAATATACCCACAGATCTTGCATGATAGTTGGATATTTTTGTCATATTAAAATAGACTACCATCCTATATATTTTTGGTTTTATATAAGAAAATTCTCTTTCAGTTTTCATCTTTTGCACTGAAGATTTCTCTTGTGGGTTTGATGAACAGGATAATGACATAATGGAAAAAAATATAAATTTATGATTAAATACATATGTATTTAAATTCCAGAGTGGGATTTACTCTGCAATTTAAAACTTAACATGTTACCTAATCAATTTAAGACTTTTTTTTAATCTCTAAAAGGATAGCAATAAAAAATATTGTATATGGTTAATGTGTGGTATTTAAACAATGTTAGTTCTTTCCTCCTTCCAGAATCTATATGTTAAAACATGGTTTTGAAA